CTCATAACGTCATAACTGCTTGCACCGCCACTCTCAGATAATACTGTCAGCTTGGGGGTCTCATATCAGACGTTCTCGATTGCTGCTCAGCCACCATCCGTTCGTCAGGCTCAGTGTATCTCTGGTCACACTGTTTATATATTTTCGAATGCTAGGGTTTCGACACTATCTTTCTCAAACTTTTTTTTCATCTTCCCTTTAGCTAAATGTCTTTGAACCCATCTTGTATGATAGAGACATAAGAAGCGGAGTAGTCTCGTACTCAACCTGCACACATCCGGGCTCGGCGTTCGTGACATCTATTTTCTAGGAGCCCAGAAATAGAGTCTAATCGAGAGAGAGTACGTGGAGAACGGAGAGAGGAGAGAGGGAGAGGAGAGAGAGGAGAGAGGAGAGAGGAGAGAGAGAGAGAGGAGAGAGGAGAGAGAGAGAGAGAGAGAGAGAATGAATGAACATTCTCCTATCCTGTGGTTTATGTCCCAAGTACCCACAATGACTGAGGCTGGGGCAGTCTAAAGCACAGAGCAGGGAACTCAATGTAGGTCTCCCATGTGGCAGCAGAGATCCAATTACTTGAGCCATCACCTGCTACCTCCCAAGATACATCTTAGGAAGAAGCTAAGGAGTAGAACTTCATCTCAAACTCAGGCACTCTGATATGTGATGGAAATGTCACAACTAATGACTTAACTGCTAAACCACTCACTCCCATCACTAGGATTTTAATAGGGATTATATTGAATCTGGAGATAAATCTGAGTGTTAACATCTTAACAATTTTAAGTATTCTAATCCATGAACATGGGATGTCCTTCCATTTATTTTTGTCTTCTTTAATATCTTTCAGCAATGTTTTAGTTTTCACTGTACAAGTCTTTCACCTCTTTGGTAAATTAATATTTAAGTGTTTTATTCTTTTCAATAGTATCATAAGAAGGATTGTTTTTATAATTTAATTTTAAGGTCATTCATTGTCAGTACATACAGATGCAACTGATTTTTGGGTGTGATGCATCCTCTATTTTTCTGTGACAATGTCCATTTTCCCTTGCCCATATCTCCCTTCCTCCTCACAGTAGTGTGTGTCACAATGCCTTGTCATGTTTGTTCTCTTTGGAAACAGGGTGAGAAAATGATGTGGTAGGGAAATGGCAAAATATTATTCTCCACTTTGGAGACTGGATATTTTCCCTACCTTTAGCCATGTAGGGCTCATAGGATTTAAAAAAAAAAAACCAGAAAATCCTTATTAAGCACTGTTCATTTCATTTCATAAAAATATTTTGCTTTTTCTTTTAGCACTGTCTGCAAGATTGATCTACCCTGAACCCTTGAGCTTTTGTCCATCATTTAGCCTTTCTAAGGGCTTCTTCCTGGGAAGTACACTTAGGAATAGAAAACATTCTACACTCTTTGACATTAGAATCTGAATGAAAATTTGAACAATCCAGCTCTCTGTAGTATTTAATATGCATGTTGAAGACACTTTGATATCTGCAGCATCTTAAAGCATCTTTTTTTCATCATTGTTTATCTTTGGTATCAAGCATTTTGAGACTTTTTCTTGACATAAGAATTTACAGTTCCAACTCTTCTTCAAAACAATGTTGTGTGTATTTTATTCTGAACTTTTAGTTTACTCTCCTCCTTCATTCCCTCCTTTTTTTTTTTTACTTCCCCAAGTGAAAGCATTATGTTAGCTATTATAAAAGGACTGTTAATGATCTCATAGAAATTGCTGTGTCAGTTAGAAGAGAATGAGAAGCAAGCATTTGATGTTGTGGGTAAGATGTCTCTTGGGGCACGTGCATCCTGTATTGGAATTCTTGGGTTCAAATCCCAGCTCTGTTCTCAGTTCCAGCAGCCTGCTACTGCACATCACAGGAGGCAGCCTGCCTTTTTGCCTTTCAAATAAAGAATAAGTTTAGAAAAATAAGAAGGGGATGGGCTTTAGAGCTGCAAGGCTCTTGTTGAGTCTCTTTACGGCGGTTTGTTGAGCCTCAGCCCCTCACTTCACAGAGGCCAAAGGTGGAAGTGACATGTGTGCATCATACAGCTGGAGAGAGGCAGGTCCATGATCTCAACGTAGCACAAATCCCATGCTCCTTCTACCCTAACAGTTTGAAAAACTTGTTTTATTAATGACAGTGAAGAAATATGATGGCTTTGGAGAAGAATGTGTCATAACAAACAGGGAGGGTGTTTAGTGTTTTCTTTCTTTATTCTAGGATATACCACGTACTGTGCTTGGCACGTTATGTAACTTATTTCATTTAATCCCCCACTGAAGTCTTACTGTTATCTTCTCATTTTACAAATGGAGAATATGAAACTTAGGAAAGTTAAGGAGCACCAGTAAGTGCCTATTCAGGATTGAACTTGAATTTTTTTTTTTAAGATTTATTTTATTTATTTGAAAGATAGAGTTACAGAGAGAGGTAGAGCCAGAGAGAGAGAGGTCTTCCATCCACTGATTCACTGTCCAAATGACCACAATGGCCAGAGCTGAGCTGATCCAAAGCCAGGAGCCAGGAGCTTCTTCCAGTTCTCCCATGTGGGTGCAGGGCCCCAGGGACTTGGGCCACCTTCTACTGTTTTCCCAGGCCATAGCAGAGAGCTGGATTGGAAGTGGATCAGAAGTGGAGCAGCTGGAACCAGCCCCCATATGGGATGCCAGCGCTTCAGGCCAGGGCTTTAACCTGCTATGCCATAGTACCGCCCCCCCCCCCTTTTTTAAAGGAATCTTGATTTTTTTCTCTCTAAAGCCTTGATATTGGAATTCAACCTTCTGCTGCTTTTAAAAGCAGATTTATATATTCCCAAATCACAGTAAAAATGTCTAGTTGGCATTTATATTTTTATAGATAATACAAATAGTTCCTTGGCCTTAGGTCTACATGACCATCAATATTTGTATTTAGAGATAAGTGTTCCTTTCTCAGGCACAGAGTGGAAAGCTGTTTACATTCTGAGTCTGGAAGCCTGAGTTCACATCCAAGTGCCCTTGCCCTCACCCTCAGTGCCGAGGACAGCAGTCTCTGTGCAAAGACCTTTCATGACCTTCTCCTCTGGGTCAGATAGCTCTGTTAGACACTGACTAAGGACCCTGTGGCTTAGTTTCCTGTGCACACTCGTTCTGGAGTGACATATTTAATTCAAATTCTGACTCTTCTTGTGCAACCCAGGGTTAAGCACTTGGCTGCCTATGCCTTAGTTTTCTCATCTGTAAAATGGGGCTAACACTACCTCACAGGATCGTCGTAGGGATTAAATGAGATACTTTTGAAGTGTGGCATACAGTGAGTACTCAGTAAACTTCAGCACATCTGTAGTGTGAAGTACTATGCAAATATGTTACTTGACTATAATAATTGTTTCATTACTATAATGTGCAATGGAAAGTCTTGGTTACTCTTGTTTCTCGTATTCATTATTTCTTTTGATCCATCAGAGGCCAGCAGAAATAGTAGATGAGGAAGAGGATGGAGAGAAAATGAGCAAGGAAACAGGACTGAAGGAAGACTTTTCAGGAATGAATGGTGATGTGGAAGGTGATGGCGAGAGGGAGGCGACAGATGGCCCTGAGGAGGTCGAGGAGATCCCAGGCCCCAGTGAGGAGCAGGCAGTCCCCGCTCGTGTGAGTAGAGGCACGGACGAGGAGAATGGTGAGGAGCTGGACCCCGTCAGCAATGAGCTTCAGCGGGCAGTTGATGAGGAGAGAAAGTCTCGAGGAGCTGGAAGTGGACACGACGAGGTATGTCTACTGCTTTTGCTATTGTGTGTACACGTGAATATGTGTGTGTGCTTGGGGAATTATCTGAGGCCCTTAGGACTTGCACCAAAGCCACTTATGCTTGAGTGGAAGCACCCGATACCATTTAATCATTTCATTTACCACTTACAGCCAGCTACCCACCTGACAGTCCATGTCTGTTGTTCTGTCATCCATCCATCCATCCATCCATCCATCCATCCATCCATCTCCTACCTTGTTTTACAAAAATATTCCGGAGATTTCTAAAAACATATAATAAAAGAGAAGACATATGACATATGTGTAGGGACTGAGAGGATGGAGACCAGTGAGACCTAGACATGATGTCAAGAATGCCATCTCAGCTGGCGCCGCGGCTCACTAGGCTAATCCTCTGCTTTGCGGCGCTGGCACACCGGGTTCTAGTCCCGGTCGGGGCGCCGGATTCTGTCCCGGTTGCCCCTCTTACAGGCCAGCTCTCTGCTGTGGCCCAGGAGTGCAGTGGAGGATGGCCCAAGTGCTTGGGCCCTGCACCCCACGGGAGACCAGGAGAAGCACCTGGCTCCTGCCTTTGGATCAGCACGGTGCGCCGGCCGCGGCAGCCATTGGAGGGTGAACCAACAGCAAAGGAAGACCTTTCTCTCTGTCTCTCTCTCTCACTGTCCACTCTGCCTGTCAAAAACAAACAAACAAAAAACAAAAAAAAAAACACCATCTCTATGATGAGGGATTTCTTGGCTCTCCTGAAGTCTGAAAGCCTAGTTTATTGAGTCCACCTGAAAATGGATTAGTTGAATTAAGCATTCACCACCTCAGGCACTGGTGTATTTAACAATGGCTGGATACAAGAGAACAAGTGGAGCAATGGCAAAGTACAAAATGTTCTCATGGGGGTTGGCACTGTGGCATAACAGGTTAAGCTGCTGACTATGATACCATCATTCCATATGGGTGCTGGTTCATGTCTGGCTGTTCCACTTCCAATTCAGCTCCCCGGTAAATTATCTGGGAAAGCAGCAAAAGGTGACCCGAGTACTTGAGCCCCTGCTACCCACGTGGGAGACCTGGATGAAGCCCCTGGTCCAGCCTTGGCTGTTGTGGCCATTTGGGGAGTGATCCAGCAGATGCAAGATTTCTCTCTCTGTCTCTCTCTCCCCCTCTCCCCCTGTCCCTCTCCCTCTCCTTCTCTCTCTCTCCTTCTGTAACTCTACCTTTCAAACAAAATAAATCAATATTAAGACAGTTTTTCTCATATCCAGGACTCAATGTCCAGTGCAAAGTCATCTATAATCCACTGCACAGTATGGACAGAATATTCTTTACATTTCTGTGAGGATGCCTAGCATGTCTCCCATTTCAAGTTTTCTTGAAGTGAGATAATCAAGTCTATTCTATGAGAATTTGCTCGTGTGTAGATCTGTGTGGTCGTCAGTGTCATTTATATAGTGAATGCAGTGCAGTAACAATAGTAGATTTCATAAAACACTTTTGTAGTAGCCTTTGGTGAATGTTTACATCGTGAAATGAAAGGATGATTCTCCGTGGGAGTAGGTAGTAAGATCCCAGCATGCTTTTTTCCGGTGGTTGAACTTAATTCAATGTATGACCTAAACAGATTTTACAGAAATGAATGGACTTCCTGTTCTTCTGTGTTCTGTAAATATATCTTCTAAAAATAGTCGTATAGTTTCCAACAACATGAATGGACCTGGAGGACATTATGTTAAGTGAAATAAACCAGGCACAGAAAGACAAATAATGCATAATCTCACTTCTGTGTGGAGTCTACAGAGGTTGACCTCATAGAAACAGAGAGTAGAAAGGTGATTACAAGGGGCAGTGGATGGGACTTGGAGAGCTGTTGCTCAAAGGATACACAATTTAAGTTAGATAGGAGGACTTAAGTTCAGGAGATCTATTGTACAACCTGATAACTCCAGCTAGCAACTGTATGCTGTACACATCACTGAGAGTAAATTTTTTGTGTTCTCACTACAGAAGATGGTTAGTATGTGAAATAATACGTGTGCTAATTAGCATGATTTAACCATTCTACAATGTGTGTGTGTATATATATATATATTTATTTCACGAGATTATACTATACACAAACACATGTAGCTCTGTGCCCATTTAAATTAATTAAAAATAAAGGAAGAAAAAGAGATTTTTAATAAAATTGTGCATGTTGAGGTAAAATTTATGTACTTGGGTAAGGGCCTGTAGTACAGGTGTCTATGGAATAAAATAAGAGCGAATCCAAATTCTTGAGGATTCAAATGAGCAACTCCCTGATATGTGACTACATAAATGCCTAAGGCAGAGCAATGGTTCATAAAGATATTTAAACTTATTTGATTCTTCTCTTCTCTTATAATGTGATATTTTAATCCCATTTTCCCTGATATGTTAGTTACAGACATACAAGGGTACCTCAAAAAGTATGTGGAAAAGTGGAATTAAAAGGTAAGTATGTATTGGTACAAAATAGTTGAAGGCCGTGCATAGTTTTTTAATAACATGCATTTTCTGTGAAGACTTTCAGATGTGTGGTTTTCAAATTTTTTTGTGTGCCAAAATAAATCTATATTTTAATTACATTTTCCATGAACTTTTTGAAGTACCCTGGTACTTTAAGCCTCTCCAACGTATGAAACACCAGCTTTTTATGAATTGTATATTACAAATTAATAAGCTTTTAAAAAAGATGCTTTACCCGTAATGTAACAAAAACTTCATTTTACCATGTAGCATTCGTTTCATGTAGCAGCATTTATGCTAGTGAAATATGATTGCAGCAAAACAGCAAGGTGACATTTATTGAGATTGAGTTTGTACTGTATTCAAGATACTATTAGAGACATTCCACAAGGTGACAATGACCCGGTAATGTTTCTCCTGTAAAGTTTAAGTCGTGGCTGGGCGTCTGGGGGCGCTGGGGCTGCGCTTCTCCCTCCCTGCACTGTGGCCCTCCTCGGGGGCTGTGGAGCCTCCAGGATTTTACAGAGCAGAGTTTGAAGCCCAGCTCATTCTCCTCTTACCTCCTCAGTTCTCCATACAGGGGGGGCTTTAAAGACAAGGCGCACATGAGACAGTATCACTAATACCCAGGGAGAACTCCAAGTGACCGAAAAATGACTGCTGTTGCAGGGAAGCTGCCTGTGCATTCTGGGCTGTCTGCCCTGCTCTTCCCTTGATACTTGATGGCATTCAGTGTTGCGGTCGCCATGAATCTGTGCTGGCAGGAGACAAGGAGACTGCCGTTGTAGAAGGTCCTCCGGAGGTGGGACTGGATTGATCCGGCAGGAGGGCGGGACTGCTGCGATTTCCTCTTCCTTTGTGTCTGAAACTGCTAAGCGGAACAGAATAAATATGCTGCTGCAAAGGAGCGCTCACAGGGAAGCTGAGTAAAGGAGAGAAATGAGGTGGCCTGTGGCACAGAGTGCGTGAGGACGCCAGGAGGACAGCAGTGTCTCGGGGTAAGGGTGCACAGAAAAACCACGGGCACCCAAGGAACAGATTTAGTTGAACATTTCCATGATGAAGTAGGATATTGAATAATTTTTTTCTCTGCAGATTATTCTACCTTTGTGAACCAAAGACCTAAACCAGTGTCTGTGTTTCGATCTATTTTCCTCTAGGCTGATATAGACCCTCAAAGACCACCAAGGCCAGAAGTGAAAATCACAAGTCCACAAGAAGATGAAAATGAGGAACAAAACAAGGACTATGCTGTTGTGGCGTAGGCGATTTTTTAGAAAGAAGATATATGGATTACAAGAAAAAAGAATTATAATACTTGAATAATAAGTGCACAATTCTTGCTAAACATAATGAAACACTATCACTGAATTCTACCTACTGCATGTTAAAAATCAAAGGCCTTGTTGGAAAAACTCGATAATTTGTAGTAACTACAGGAGAATGGCTTATTTTTATGGCATGCATTTTTAAAAGTTGGAAAATTAAATGGGACAGATAGAGGAGAGTTTGTACAGGAAGGTAATAGACCACTTTGTGAAAGATTAAAAAAATAGGATCAGTCCTTTTATATATTTTACTATAAATTTAGAAGTGAGATCATTAGATGGCAGCTTATTCTGAAGCACTTACGTAAGGCATAGAATTTTAAAGAATTGGTATTAGGAAAGAATGTACTATTTCTTAAGGCAATAAACTCTTGGATGAACAAATTGCAGTTTAGTTTCAGATGTAATTTGGAGATGGCAATAGATTAAAATGTTTCCCTGACTTGTTGACATTCCTTTCTCTTTTCTTCCTCAGCCAAGATCTACCTTAATCAAACTAAAAAGACAGTAGAAGCTGTTCATTTTGGAAGGAGGAAGCATTTATTCAGAGCATTTGTGATTAATATTGCCATGCCTTCAGGTTTTAAGGCGTGTGGCTGTAACAGCACACACCCAGGAAGGAATTATAAAGGAATACTCGATTATGTTACTAGGTCTGGCTGGCTAATTTACGAATTCTGGAAATTCTGTGAATTATCACTGGCCCAGTCTACCTTTAGCAATATCCCTTTGTTATCCATCATGTTATTATGTTAGGAAACTGATATTTTAAAGATTGGATTCTCCCCAAGATTTTTGCTTACTTATGTTTTTGTTTTCTTTATTACAAAAAACAAGACAGCATGATAGGTAGAAACAAGTATGTGAAAAGTTTGTGACTACTTGATTTCATTTGCCTTTGTCTTATTTCTATTAGGACTGTCTGTTTATTTTTGCTCCTAGGATATTGGCGGATATTTATTTTTCTAGCTGGTTGTATTTAGACTTTCAATCAGATTACTTTCTGTATAATTATAAACCATCTGATGGAAATTGTAGGAAAAAACTTTTAAAATTATTGTAATGAAACCAGTTCCTGATTACAACTTGTGGGCTGATTAAATTAATTTATAGTCACCCTATGAGGGAAACATAGGAAAAGCATGATTGAATTCTCAGATGATGCCATTAGTCCTTAAATATACAAATAATGTGTTTTTTCTTATGATGAAAATATATTTTAATTATATAAAAGTTATAAATTGGATGTTTTAGCTTCTAGTGCTTTTTTTTTTTAAAGATTTATTTATTTTTGAAAGGCAGAGTTACAGAGAGGCAGAGGCAGAGAGAGAGAGAGAGAAAGAGAAAGAGAGAGAGAGTCTTCCATCTGCTGGTTCACTCCCCAGATGGCCCCAATGGCTGGAGCTGCGCCGATCCGAAGCCAGGAGCCAGGGGGTTTTTCTGGGTCTCCCACATGGATGCAGGGGCCCAAGGACTTGGACCATCTTCTACTGCTTTCCTAGGCCATAGCAGAGAGCTGGATGGGAAGTGGAGCAGTAGGGACATGAACTGGCACCCATATGGGATGCTGGCACTATAGGTGGTGGCTTTACCCACTATGCCACAACACCAGCCCCGTCTAGTGCTTTCATAAAGTTCATTATTAATCATAAGTTTTAAAGATATTTTCTCCCGAAATGTTTCATAACCAACCATTTGGAATCAAAATATTTGGCAGTTATATAAAGCACTTAATTATACTATAGGAAACAGATGTATTTTCCTTAGCAGTTATTTTAGTATTTCCTGCAAATAGGAAGTTTAAGCAGAGATTATAATGTAACAGTATTGAAAGTGCTAATGATGCAAGGATAATATTAGCCTGGGAGGATGGATGGTAAGGGGGGCACCGGGCTTTCTCCTGGGTGCTCACCCTTCCCAGTGGGACAGCGGTAGGCGGTGCAGATTCCAGGCAGCCAGCCTGTGTTGCTAGGGGAACACAGCTGCTGGTCTCCTAATTCAGATTCCTGCACTCTTGCTGGGTCTGGGATAAATGATTTTAAGCAGTTTTTAAAAATAAATTTATGATTAAATATATAATAATTTATAGTTAATCATCAGGTGATTTTTTTTTCAGTGAAGAACTTCTCCCTCTTTTCCTTCTTTAATAAAGATACTCTTTTTTTTTCTTCGTTACAATAAGAAGCTTAGGTTTTAGGTATACTCCCTAATAGTCATTTTATGATGCATTATTGATTTTTTACATGAAAAAGAAAATTTTGTATTTTAAGCATACCTCAAGAAGCTGATAGGGTGCAGTGTATGTACCAAAATTGTTTAAAAATGGGGACATTGTGTTCTCTTATGTACACATTTGTGTCATCTATGGACAAGATGTAACTGAGACCTACCTTGGGGAGATGGATAACAACTTAGCACTTTAAAACACTTGGCAAACATATATTATGAAAAGAAACAATAATCATAAATGAAATATGTTGTCTAACCAAGAAAGGAATCATTCAGAGAGAGTTACAATGGTGGCTATCACTTTGCAGATGATTTGCAGATAAGTGGAATCTTACCTCTCACATATGGCAGTGACTTCTGTGGGAGTGGTGGGCTCCATGGCTGACTAGATCCACAGATTGAGTGAGGCCGACTGCCAGGTTTAGGGCCCATTTATGTGAGTAAATAGAAGAGGTCTTGGTTAGACTTCATGTTCTAGTTTATATAGAGAGAGGGTGCTATGAAAAACTTAGTTGCTGTTAGGTGATAACAAATGTAGTGAGTGCTTAGAGATGTTGGTTGCAGGTGATGCTGTGTACACAGATTTCATGGTTTTAACTGTGTGAAATGATTTTGTTCCGCTTACCTCGATTTTAAGGCACTGGAAACAGCTGATTTACTAGTCAAACTGAGCATTAGGAATTTTGCCAAGCCAATAAAGAAGATTTTTTTTATTAACTTCATTTGTAGGCTAAAGACATTTTACCTGACTTAGCTTCTGTTAAAATAGTTATTGAACACTTCTGGTTATAAAGTGATACTATGCCTATAGGTTAACTTTGTATTATTTTTCTCTATGATCATGTGATGATCTTTTATTTATTAAGAAATTTTTCTCTGTGATTTTTGGAGACTGTTAGGATGCCTGGCTCATAGGAAGAGTGTGATAGTGTCATACCCCTTATTTTATTCTGAAAGTGTTAATTCGTGCTAAGGTATGTAAAGACAGAACCATTTCATACATGTCTGGCTCAGACGCGGTCAGCTGTCTGCAGATTCACAATTGTGAGGTCATGCTACTATGGAATTGTTCATGCTAGCCCTTCCCGCTTATACATCATAAGCCAACATTCTCAAAGTTTTCACAAAATGACCTACATTACACACAGAGGATTAAGTTCATTTACTCACAAAAAATGTATCTGTTTTTGAAACAGCATCTGCAAAACAACAGGAAAGCTTTTGTTCTTCTAGCAAAGTTTCATTGAAAAAGTAGAGACATAAACTCCTAAAGCTGATAGACCAGGTGCGTGTATCAGAAAGGACAGAGAGCCCACTCTTTATTCAGACCGGGGTTTCTATGGACGTGAGTATGGGGACCCCATTCCTTGTTTCCCAGGACACCACCTTCTTCTTGCTTTAGTAACTCTCCTAAAGAGAGTTTCATTTTGACTCAACGAGTAGCAAAGGCAGAGTTTAAAAAGCAGACTGATTGTTAAACAGAAAAGCATCTCATCTCAACTTGCCAGTCTGAACAGAAATGTAATGTATGAATAAAATATATCGATATAAATCAAATGCGCAAATAAATGCACTCACACACTTTAAAACATTAAAAAGGCTTCTGCAGGAACAGCATTACTAGTAGAATAATACTCTTTTAGACGAAGCTGAGAGAAGCAATGTGTAAAAACATGAGAAGAAATGCTAAGAAATAATATGTATTATGGTTCTTTAAATATTAGTTCCCTGGTACTTTAAGGGATTTTTTTTTCAAGATAAGAGAGCTACCAGCATTTTAATGAAAAATAAAATCTATTCTAGGGAGGAGTGTGGAAAACCTGATTTTTAAAAAACATGTGAGAGATACCACATTTAAAAAAAAAAAACCAGCAAGACATATAAGTCTTGTTTTCATAAAGGAAATAAGAGTACAGTTTTTTTTCTTTCTTTTTAGCAGCCTTAAGTACCATACACTTTAGGAGCAGAATATTTCATACCAGCCCAGGCTCTTTTAAAAGTTATCACTGTGTGTGTGTGTGTGTGTGTGTGTGTGTGTAAGTGAGAGAGAGAGGAAAAAAGAGAGAGAGAGAGAGATTTACATGAAGGTATTGAGGAATACTTTCGCTACCAGGTAGCTAGGAACACCACAAGCAGAATGAAAGACTGACTTACTGGTCCACTAGTTTATATAATGCTCACTCTCAGTGGAGAAGTTTTAGCATTCTTATGTGAACATAATGCCATCATAGAATGGAACTATTTTAATGTTAGACTATTTTTCTAAGGCGATGAACCATATAGTTCTTTGTTGGTAAATATCATCAACATGAATACTGTAAGATTTTTGCTTTTTTAAAAAATGCCCTGGTACATAGATGGGTATGATTTTGGTTTTTCCATTTTGAAATTTCTAAATTTCATCCCCTGAAGTTTAAGTGATGCAAAGGAAGAATAATGGTGCCAATATGCTGAAGAGGAAGAAATAATATTGTTTTTGATGAGGCATACAATCCTGTAGGGAATTAAGAGCTGGGAAAGAATGAAAAAATATCTGGATAACCATAAAGCATTTAAAAAATCAGTAGATAAACTTGGAGCTCCATGGACTTAAGCCAGCAATGACTTAGTTTTAATCAACAAATGGGACCAGAGGAATTCCTTGTAGCTTCATCAGCTTGACCATATAATTTGTGTGTTTCAGTTATTGTCACAAATTTAATGGTATATGGTAAGAGGGAATGATTCTAGTCGATTTTAGAAGTTTAGAGAAACCCTATTTTGTTTTTTTCTTCAGTGTTTTGCTTGTGTCTTAAATCTTTAATATACAGTGCTAATGAGTGATTATTGATGTTTAGAAAAGATTGAGCTTTTCATTTTTATATGCTTTGTTTAGAATATCTCTCTGTAAAGAACACATTTGTATTTTGGTCAAATTAGAGGCATTTTAGGTTTTTACTTATATATCACTGCACTCACATATGCAACTCTATTATATCTTGAGTAGAGTAGATACATTTTATATAATTAAAAGTCTTTAATGGTTTATTGTTTGCTTGTGATATTATATTGCTAGTATTTCATGTATTAATCCTTTTCACGACATTTTGCACAAACACAATTTAAATATTTTGAATTCAAACATGTAGAAATTCAGCACACTTAAAGATGCTTCTCCTTCTGTTCAGCATAAATATTAAACTTCATTGTGTAAAGAATTTTTTACAGTTTTATCTGCATGTTTATTTGATAAAATTTTAGATATATTTTTAAAAAATCATTTTTTTCTTTATTTAAATGGTTTTACAAAAAATCAGGTCCAGAATTTGTTTGATAAGTAAAGGTATCTTTAAAAGCAAGGAATAGACTATATATGTTATACCTACTTTGTGTACAGTTTCCATAGGAATAAATTTATGATCTTTCAAAGAATTTGGATAAAATTCTGCTCTGGTTTGTGGGATAGTCACTGATTTTGGTATATTGATTTTAAATAGTTTTGTTTTACCTCCCGTGTTTGAGAAACAAAAAGAATTAAGTACAAGCATTTTGACTTTTTGAAAAATAACAAAATAGGAATGATTTGGGTCTCCTAAGGAGAGTACATTAATGTCCCTCTCGTGCGCATGGCCATTTAATCCTTGCTATTCTCTAAGAGTGAAAAAGCAAACCTCAGCAAGAGAGGAAGCATCTAAATTGCCAGGTTCTGATCTTTTTAGATCACATGGGTAATTGACATTGGAAATGTCCGACAAGTAGCTATGAGTGTAATCTCTGTAAGGTACTATCAAACTGCCAGCATGCATGTGATATAGAATTCTTATTTGTGAAAATAAACATATAGCTTTTCTACAGGTTTCCAAGTGATTTTTCTCCCATAATGGGACTTTAGTCTATTAAATCATTGTACAGGTCTCTAAGTGCCCACATAGTCCAACTCAGTCTTCCATTAAAAAGACAAATGTTTCAGGGATGTCCTGTGTTTCAGTTTCTGTTGATTTAACAAATTCATTGGCTTAGTAGTAACAAAAGTGATTTAAAAGTGCAAAAAAATACAATTAAGTTTGAAACCGTATGAAGCAACTCCCCTTGGTTTTGCTGTCTTTGGTACAGACGGCTGTTAGGATTGTCCTGGCTCTGTCCTGATTCTCTGGCTCCTGGTTTATTGGCTTCTCTTCTAATCCTTGAAGTCTCCTGAGCAACCCATTCATAGTCATGGTCTTAATAACTACTGTGTATTCGCAACTCCCAGGTCTGTATCCTGGGCCTGATCTCCCTGGCAGCTCCAGACCTCGCTGTACCACACTTAGCTGCATCTTCTACAATTGCCTTGAACTCAAAGGTACTGTCTGTTCATTTGCAAACATTTCTATTTCAACATTGCCCACTCTAGTTAATGATGCCAGTCACCACCCAACCTAGACAACTGGGAGTCAACTTAAGTTACTATCATTTTCTCCCTTTTCACTTAAAATCAGTCATTTCATTTCATTCTGTCTGTTTTGTATCTGCCGCATAGGGAACATTTGTTTATAGTTTACCAGGAGGCATTTTTCTGATCTTGTTTATTGGCCACGAATATTCCTCCTCATTGATACATATACTTGTCACATGATTTCTACTGGGTTATAGGCTCTTTGTCTTGAAGGATTTTATATGAGGGAATTTCAAAAAGTTTGTGGAAAATGAAATTAAAAGATAGTGTGCACATCCTTGAACCTTTTGAAGACTGCTGGTATATTCTTCATCACTTTTGTTGATTTTATGTTACAATATCTCTTCCAGTTTTTTTTTAAAGCTATTTTTCTAGAAAAGTTTGTAATATTAATGCAGTTAGCTATACCAGTCTTTTCCTTTATAGTTGTATGTACTTTATTTAAGAAATTTGTCTGAACTCTGAAGTCAATTATATAGTATAATTCTTTCCAGCTTTTTAACATTTTGCTTTTCACAGTTAGTGCTTATCTGCCAAGAATGTATTTCGTGTGCATTGTAGTTATAGATTTAATCCTTTCATGTAGATGACAAGTTGTCTTAACACCATTTATGGAACACACTGTCTTTTTTCACATTGGTTTGTGATTGCACCTTATTCATATGCCAAGTTCCCATGTGTTTTATGGAAAGTCTTGCCTCAAGATTGGAGGAGAATTCAGTTGGGGCTGAGTTGTGTCCCTTTCCCCTGGGTAGTACGTTGAAGGCCTCAACCCCCAATGTGACAGATTTGGAGATAGGGCCTTCATGCAGGTAGTAACGGTTAAGTGAGATCATAAAGGTGGGCCCTGATCCAATAGGACTGGTGTTATAAGAAGAGACACCTAAGCTCTTTCTGTGTCTAGCATGTGAGGTCAGCTGTCCACAGCCAGAAACGGAGTCCTCATCAGAAACCAAATCTGCCCCCCCTTGTGTCATGGACTTCCGGTTTCTAGAACTGGGAGAATAGAAGTGTCTAATACCTGTAAGCCACCTGGTCTGTGACATTTGTTACAGCAGCCCACATAGACCAATACAAATCCCTTTGCCTTGCCAGGTATTGGTATTGTTTATCAGTAACATTAAGTTTTTAATCACATGATGTCCACATTGGTTTCTTAGTTTTCTGCTAATGAGCTCCTGACTTTCTAAAGTATCCTTCTAAGGACACTAGAGGCTCGGGCCATGGAGAAGAAGGGAATCCAGGGAGCCACCCGAGGCCAAGCTCGATGGGCCTTGTGGACATAGCTTCTGTTATTTTCTTCTGTGTTCAAGATGATTGACAGTAATGAGATACTATGAGAGGTTTCTCTTATCTGTTTCTGTTACCAGTTTCTCTGATAAACTAAGCAGACTAGGAAATATTAGTAACTACTCAAAAATGCTTGTGACAATGTGTGGTATAAAAGCATTTAATACTTCATTATTTATACCTTCTTTTTCTTGTAACTTTTACACATGATCTCTTGGGATATGAGTGGCCCAAGGCTGCAGGTACCAAGCTCTCCTTCTATTCCTAGACGAGAAGGCGATGTTGTCCCTTCTTTTCTACTCATGAAAAAGTTAGTACATTTGCGTCATCTTGGAAATTTCTTGATGGTTTGATCACTTGTGTAATTGCCTCAGCCTATGGTGTGTGAGTGTGTATGTTTGTGTATGTGTGTGTGTGAGTGTGTGTGTGTGTGAGTGTGTGTGTGTGTTTGCTTTTTTTACTTCAGTTTCTTTTCTGGTTACATGTCTATTCAAGTTTTCTGTTTATTGATTCAAATTAGCAATTCATATTTATCTAAAAATTGTTCATTTCTTTCATTTACAAATTTATTTTCCAGAAGTTATTTATCATATTTTTAGAACTTTTCAAAACTCCTGTGTAAATATAGTCATGTCCATCTTTCCTCATCTCCAATGACAATAATGTTGGCTTTTCTCTTTTTTTCTCAGTATTAACATTTTTAAAATAAATGTTTTTAAAAACATTTTTTAAAAAATCTTTATTTACTTATTCAGAAGGCAAAGTGACAGAGAATGAAGGAGAGACAGAGATCTTCCATCCACTGATTCACTTTCCAACCACCTGCAACAGCCGGGGCTGGGTCAGCATAAAGCCAGGGCTCAGGAACAGCATCTGGGTCTTGGTTATAGGATGCCAGCTTTGCAAGTGATCACTTAGAGTGCTGTGCCACAGTGCCACCTCCAAAGGTCAACTTTTGTGATCTTCTGTACTGTTTATTTTTCTATGTCATTATCTCTCTGTTCTTATCACCAGTATTTCTTTCTGCTACTTTCCATGAGTCTTCTATAACTTGTTAAATTGAATGCCTTGTTAATTGCTTTCTGGCTGCTTTGAAGTGATAAGTTTAATATTATGTTTTCTCATGGGTTATACCTTAAATTTAAAAAAATATATTTGAGAGGGAGGGAAGGAGAGATAGCGAGAGAGAGATTGATCCTTTTTGGCCTTTGATTCACTCCCCAAATTCCCACAACAGCTAGGGCTTAGCCAGAATGAAGCCAGGAGTCCAGAACTCAGTCTGGGTCTTTCATGAGGGTGACGGGGCCATGTACTTGAGCCATCAACCTGCAGCCTCCTAGGTTGCATGTTAGTGGGAAGCTGATATTGGGAGTGGAGCCAGCACCCACGTGGGAGGCCTGGAGGAAGCTCCTGGCTTCAGCCTGGCCCAGCCCTGGCTTTGCTGGCTATTTGGGTAGTGAACCATTTGGTGGAAGAGCTCACCCTCCCTGTCACTCCCTCTCTCTCCATAACTCTGCCTTTTAAAAAACAAATATTAAAAAAAAAGGTGACAGATTCAATCTATTAATCGGCAATTTAAAACAAAGTGTGACATTCAGAGGACCTCACTGGTAGCATTTAAAATAAGTCTTTTCTCCTATAGTCAAAGGCAGTTAGAAATGAAGACCAAACCAAGGACTTTATAGGGCAGGTTGAATTCTCAGACTCGGCAAGTCTCGTATGACAGTGGCAGATCCTTAATGCGGGAGGACTGGAACCCCAGTACTGGGTGTTGGGACTCTCTGGGTGGAGGCACTGAGGCTGCTGAACCTCCTCTAGCTTCCCCTGAACCTTTTGAGTCCAGAGAAGAGACTCAGTCCCCTTGTTGGAAAATTACAGTCCCCTGTATAATACCACCATCACCAACTAGCTGGAAGAATGATAAACGATTACAAGAACAAAAGTGACAGTGTTGATGTGATTCTTTTTTTCTTTTTCAAGATTTATTTTATTTATTTGAAAGAGAGAGTTACTGAGATAGAAGAAGAGACACACAGAAAGGAAGGCTTCTTTTTCCAGACGATCATGCAGAAGCTTTCAATGAGGCCACTTCCTTTGAGGACCGTGCTTTCTTTCCTGCGAGAAGTCATGTGGCATGCCTGAGTCGCTAGGTTAAATGCCAGCCCCACCGTTCCACCACTGACAAAAGTACTACCCAAAGCCTATTGTCAGTCTTGCTCTACCTGTATTACCATGGCTTTTAAAAAAATTGCTAAAGCTGCATGTTAACTTTCAGGGTGTCCTGTTTAGAGAGAGGAGTGATGAGAATGATGACTGTGGTTTGTGATAACATGTGCATATGAGGGTAGAATAGATTAAACCCATTTTCCTTGCTATTTAATCATTATGGCACTAATTTTGGTAAGCCTTGCAACATGGAACACATGTTTCCATGTAAAATTTGGGTTCATCTTCATGGCAAACTTAGAGCCTTAATCACCATTGATCCCAACTCAGGCAGCCCACATGTGTGAAGGGTGTTTTGGAAAGTTTCTACCATGCAAATGTGGCCATCTGTGAAGTGATTGAATTATTGGGTGTCCTATGAAATGGTAATGGACACACAGTGAAATACCTATTTGGGTAAAATGACAGTGTGAATTTTTAAAAATTGTCATCTTCATCATATGGAAATGCTTACTGGTGTGTGCCGTGTCCAGCACTAAGT